TCCGTGGCCTCAGAAAATCTTTTTGGCAAGAGTCCAGCAGCCAGTCCCCCTCCCTTCTCTTCACCAAATGGACATGACATGACATTGTGGCCTACAGGAGGCTGTTTTTAAGCCGTGGCAGCTCAGAAATGGGCCATAAAACAGTCTGGCTCCCCGTGAGGGAATGGGTCTAAGCACACATTGACAAGACTCCGGCATCTAACGTCCCAGAGAGCGACAGAGGAAATAAATTAAGAAAAAGGAAACTGCAGACAACGATGAGGTGCAGACAGCAGGCTACTGTCTGGTCTCAGTAAACAGGCTGTTTTATAACTGTTGGTACCAATATTTTCAATCTGTTCCATGATTGTTTCCCTCTTTCTTTTGTCTGTAACTTAAAATTGGTCCCACTTCATACATCCTTTTTTATCATATATTTCTATTAAAAACAATGTTGGAATATGCCACAAAATAAGCTACCAGACTGTAATTGAAGTAGTCTTTGATTTGACCTATATTATGGTATTTTTTTAAAGTTATAATAGTCCTATGGTTAATACTAAATATATGGAGTTCTTTGCAAAAAAAGCCAACTTTCACATATGCCTTTTTTTTTAGAAAACACACCACGCTAGCAAATCAGGAGATCAGATCACTTGACCACTCATAGGGACTATGTGTGAGCCATCTTTAGGAGCGCCTTGTCGAGACAACTTGAGGAGCGCAGCTTCAATCACAATAAAAAGCAAGTTATATCCAAGTAAATTGAAGTCTGCGGCAGCACAGAGACCGCCCCCGCACCCCATTTATGCCACCATGAAAAGAACACGATTGCACCGCATTACTGCCATGGTCTGACCACTTATAAACAGCCTAAGGCTCCCTGATGCCACCTCTGCGTTGTTTTCTAAAGGAGGCTATAAAGCCATCTCAACAGTTTTATTATTACAATGTCAGTACCTTCTAGAATGAGCTGTTTCAGGGCTCTGCTACTGTAAGAAAATAAGTCTGAGTTGGCCAATCCCACCCATCCCCCGCTCAGGCTGCTATAAGCCGAGAAGCTCCAACACAGGAGGGACTCGGAGAAGAGCTGCTACTCCTCCAACCTGGATAGGTGAAATGGGTTTCTACCCTAACTTCCCTGTTTGTGACATCACAAACAGGGAATTTTTAAAACTGCTTTTTTTAGACTTATCATTCGTAAACCAAGCATTGACGGATGGATGGGTTTCCTTTATGTTTGAGGCAGTAGAAACTCACATGGCAGCACAAAAGGATGTAAAAGGTGAGTTTTGTATAATATTTCCCCTTTAACAACACACAGTTTGCATTTCCTTCTGTCAAGAGTTGGAGCGTGTAAAATATTTTCTCCTTTTTGTTTTCCCCCTAATTATTTTGTTACTGTGCAACTGCTGGAAATGCTGGGTTAGGGTTTAACACAAAAGCGTTTGTTGGATGTCTGGCAGTTCGTGACACTGTTTGGACCAAATTCTACCAATCCAGCAGTTCACCCAGACAGAGGAATTATTTGACTAAAACTAAACCATGTTGTTTAGCATGGCTTCCTTAAGTACTTTCAGTTTCCAGGGATTCTTGGGCTCTGTAGCCTTTTTGGCCTGCAAGAGTTTTGTGTCCATTCAGAGCTTTCTAGGCAGTAAGGGGGAGAGAGGAGGAATAGAATGTGAATAGTGCCCCCTCAGAAACTAAAGAGTGCAGCCCACTAGAGCTGTTCTTGTTAGTTTGCTCATGTTCTTTGTTCTCCTTTCAGCCCTTCTGGCTAGATGTCTTCAAACAAGCCGTTTGGGGGTCATGATTCTTGACTAGGGGATTTAGGGCAAAAAACTGGGCTCCATTGTTGCCATTAAAGTAGGAATAATGTGTGGTGTGTTTACTGGGTGTGCATGGTGCTGTTTGGTGACCAAGCCTTGTGGGACGATGCCAGGTGGATGTCCAGTGCTGACAAGAGAGCAGGTGTCCATTAGCTACAGAGCAGAAAGGAGGGGTGGCGGGTAGGGTTGGATGAGGATCATACAAGCTTCTGGCATCTGCCTTACCTGCTGCCTCCCCTGCAGAGCCCAGACTGTAAACGATGGGGAAAAGAGAAGTTAGAAAAGGGAAAAGACAAAGAGGAAAGGGGAGTGTTTTGGAGGAGGGGCCAAGTGAAGTAAAAGACTCATTCAAGTAGTGTTTTTACAATTTACCCCTTAACTTTATTTAACAGGATTTATTGTGGTATTTCAGTCTAGGTCCTTGCTATCTAGATTTGAGTGAAGCACAACACCAATTTGTTCTTTTTAGTTGATGCAGAGAGCAAAATTGCTACCTCCTTTATATGTATTACAAATATTCTTCTGAGTTACTTTGGAAGGACTGTGGATAAAGTGGCTGTGATGTCTCCTCTCAGTGGGGACAAGTGTTGCAGTGTTTTTATTTTGAATGAGTAATACACAAAATGGTAAGTATTAGTATAATTGAAATATTTTTTTAAGTTTTACACAGGTTGTGAAGTGCAGTTATGTATCATATTTGTGTAGTTTATGTCGTGGTCCCCTGTTTGCTTGATGAAATGACACATTACGTAAACACATTTTCACACACATGGTTTGCTTACTGTAGTCCGAGTCAGTTAATGGATGTGTTAACTTGAAGCATTTGTAGGGGCATAGCATTGAATGACTTTTCAGTGATGCAGTTTGTGGTGGTGGTGGTGGGGGGGGGGGGGGGGGGGGGGGGGGCAAAGCATTGAATGACTTTTCAGTGATGCAGTTTGTGTCATTTGTTGTGTCTCTCTGGGGCTTTATGACAGAACGCAAAGCTGGAAGCTGCAGGCCAAGCTGCTGAACCACCCATCCAGTCTCAGCAGATGCGTTTACTGCCATCCTCCATGGCTGACCATCAGGCTGGGCAGCTGAGCACCAGAATATCAATGGGGCTCAATCTCAGCTTGGCCCCTGGGACTTTCTACCAAGCAAACAGGACAGCCCCCTCTTCTAATGGAAGACAGAGACTTGTCGCCACCAGGGACTTTAGTGACAACATGGCAGAAAGATGCTCAGTAGCACAAAAAACGCCAGTTTGAATCAATCCAGAGTGAGATTTGGAACATCACACCTGGTGTGATTATCTGCAGTTTTGGCTGTTGGGGAGAGCCAGATGTGTCCATTGAAGGGCCGTCTGTAGGAAGCATGGAGAAGAAAAGCAGTAACCCTTTTGTTTAAGAACTGACTGTCTAAGAACTGTTTAGATTACGTAAAAGAGGGAGGTAGACTCAAGGATTTGTCCTGAAGCACAAGGTTTATCCTCTGAGTCAATGAGGGATTCTTTTTAGGCAAGCAAGCAGGCACTCAGTGGAGATGGTAACCAAAAGACCTTTTTCTAATAGTGCAATAGGGTAATTCTTCTTTAAGTGGTGGTATAGGTGCCTCCTTCTCTTTATTTTTCTCTCTCAGATAGTCAATATATTGATGTTTCTCTGCTTAGCTTGTTTTTGCCCTGGGGCTGTTGAGGATGCTATCCGCTTAGCGAGGCAGCCTCTCGATGGCACAGGACAGGGATGAATTGTGAAGACATGTTTATCAACTTGAAGAAGTGCAAGTTGCCCCTTGTTGGAAGAGAATAATGGCACCTAATAGAGCTGTAATGTGCTGGCAGGTTGCCAGAACCTTCAACCGAGAACTCTCCATCAGAAAAGAAGTTCGAGGAGAAGACGACACTGTTTAAACACTGCAGGGTATTTTCACATGCACTCATACATTTATTAGCCAAACTTGTGTTTAATTTAAACCAATTTGCAAATCTGAGCATTCAAATACAACGTTGAAGAGCACCTGAGTTCCTTTTTCTGTCAACTAAAGCGCAGCTTTGTTAAAGTCAGATCAATTCTCTGGAGGAGCAGTATGGCCCGTCTCCTGGCACCTGCTTCACCAAGAACTGGCTGGAGGAGGAGGAGGAGGTGGAGGAAGAGAGGGAGAGGGAGCAGGAGCGGGTGGGAAGGAGGAAAAACCCAGCTGCCTCTGTGCCTGAGCCCCGTGCTGCTTTTAAAGGAGTGGGAGGGAGAGGAGGGAGACTGCTGGCACCATCTGTACACGTCTTTTGTATTCCAGCCCTCGTCTTTACACAGAGCAAGGCTGGTGTGCTCAGTGTTCAAATGAAAGGATAGGAGGTTCCTTTTGGGGTGCTGCGCTCTTGTGTGTCGATGCAGAAATTCAGCAGCGTCCGCGGAAATTTGCCGCGCTCCGTGGAAATCTTGTGCCCTATTTATTTGTGCCAGTACAGTGTCATTAGGCTCTGTTTGCAAGCATCCATGTGTGGCCACATCTCTGGGTTTCCATGTGTGTGAAAGCAGTCAGGATCTCTTGTTTGTTCCGCCCGCTATCTCCTCTGACTCACCCACTCAACCTTTTGCATCATGTGTGTTATTTGTGCAATGCAGGCCACTCTTGTATGAGGTGGCTGGGTGGATCTGCCTGCGACAGCAGCCTGCGCTCTCTACTGTCATATTGACGTGGCTTTTTTTCTGCTTTGCGTGAACTGGAGCTGAGGTCAACAAGCTCTCTGTCTCACCCACCCATCCACCCCTCTGGCTCCTTTTTCAGCCTAAAAGTGCTGAGGACCATAAGAGGTGGCTGCCCTCCTCTTTGATACATACCCTTTCTCCTCTGATGCTGCAGACCAAGGCAGGTAGAAGTGAGTCTTTTGTAGTGAGAGAGGTGCATACACATGCACAGCAGATGAAACGCATATGATTTGATCAAACACTCTCTGAGGTGGTGGTCGAACCAAGCGGTAGGTAAATGTGGAGTCCATCTGCATGCTCAGAGCAAACTCTAGTGGCCATGAGCAGCACTGACAAGCTGGATTGTGGTTATTTTATACTGTATTGTATTTAAGGAGCGTCTTTTACCCTCTAAAAAAAGAAATGAAATTTCTCTGCTTAGTTTTCTATATCTTGTTAAAGACAAGATTTTACATCAAGTAAAGTCCAAACAAATGATGTATTCTCTTCTTTGCTTGCTTTTCAGCACTTCTGTCTTCGTGGTGTGAGGAACTGGGACGCCTCCTCCTCCTCCGTCACCAGAAGAACAGACAGAACGAGCCTCCAGGGAAAGTACCCATGCAGCCCCCGATGAATTCCATGAAGCCCGGGCTCTCACACGGGTCAGTGTTCACACTGCTGTGTGCAGCATGTGTGTGATGTGTGTTTACATCTGTGAACAGAGAGACCAGGCCAGTGGGGGGAATCAAAGTGAAGCTCAGTTTCCTTTATAGTTTAGCAGCTAAGCTAACTGCCAGATTATCATCTTATTATCAAGAAACACTGAGTATATGTTTTCTGTATATTGGTCAAATATTCATAATTAGCGTGATGTGTTTTTCTCATTTCCTATACAGAGATGGTTCTTTTCCCTACGACTCAGTACCATGGCAACAAAACACCAACCAGCCTCCAGGTTCAGTGTCTGTGGTGACCACTGTCTGGGGTGTGACCAACACATCACAAAGCCAGGTGAGGTTCTGCACCAAAATGAGGGATTCAAAAATCCTCACTGGCCGGCAACTGTTGCCAGAAAATGTCGTTCACAAGAGGTTTCAGTGTGCTTGTGTGAGGTGTAATGGCAGCACTGGAACTCTGATTCTTTTCAAAGTGTTTGTCGCATTTCCTTTAAAATATTCATTGTGAGCTTTTGACATCCTTCTCAATCTAGTTTCTATGTGTCAACATGTAAGAAAATCTGGGTGGAGCTGGCAACCAAGTTGCGAATAAAATGAATAACCTATGACAAAATAATTTCTAAAACCATTTTACTACTGTTGAAATTTAATTGCAATTATGCCATGTGACCATATCCAACTTGTCGTGCTAAAGTTTCACAAACCAGTTCACTGTTAATCCAAGTAAACTTTCACATATTTTATTGTGATTATGTTTGTCCGTGAAGTCGTACACAGGCATAGCCCACACTGATACTAGCCCTAGAATGGACAAGATTGGTAGAGAGAAATCTCAAAGAAGTGGCATCCAAAGTGTTTAGGCGAAAGTCATTATTTACGAAAAATAACAATTGCAGAACTAAGATATGATACTGGTCGTAGTGTGTGTCTGTGTGGACCGTGTGCACACTTTAGTTTTGCTATTATTTTTGTATTAAAGCTTCTTTCCGGAGTATTTCTCTTATCCAATGGCACCATCAAGTGGCTGACAAGCATATCACACAAAAGCGCTGTTCCTCTGTTTTTTAAGATGGCAACTTCACATTTCTGTTTATAAATGTGCTTCTGTAGTTGACAAACAGAGCTAAAACACGTTGTTTTACGAGTATTATTCTCATGTCGCGTTGTGTTTTCATATATTTATATTTTAGAGACTTACTTGTCCGTGAAAAGTTCATCAACTCTGCTTCAGCCGAGGTATTCCTTAAATGTGAAGCATCTAAGCGGTAGTCTAACGCTATTGATTAGTTCTGGTCGGCGCTCAGTTTCCTATTGCAAGGAGCTCTGCCGGACGTATTGCTTATATTATATCACAGGACATGATAAGATAATCACTTTTACGAATTTCTGACAAATCATACATAATTTCTGAAAGAGTAAAACTCTGGAAAGCAGTTTTAATTGTTCAAACATCTAAGACAAAGTTAACTTCTGTGCTTTTTACAGTTTTTTTTTTGTTTATTTTTTTGAGGAGTTGAACCACATCTCTGATTATCAGAACATGTACGTGTCTTTATGTCTTTGTCTAAAGGTGTTGGGGAATCCCATGGTCAACAGCAACAACCCCATGAACCCTGGGGGCAATCCTCTGGGTTCGGGCATGTCTGGTAACAATCCGGGTATGAATTCTCCTCAGTTCCCCGGTCCACAGCAGCAGTTCCCAAACAAAGGCAACTCAAATCAGGGCTACATGCAGCAGGGTATGTACGGACGACCCAACTACCCTGGAGGGGGAGGTTTCGGTGGCAAGTAAGCGGACAGTGAATAAAACAATTAAGAATTTCTTTGTAGCGCTTTGCAGTAATTAATTTTATTGTGTTGCTACGAAAGTTACCCTGGAGGGCCAAGTGCTGGACCTGGTGGGATGGGCATCCCCTCAAACTCCCGTCCTCCATCGGATTTCACCCAGCCTGCTGCAGCTGCTGCTGCAGCTGCAGTTGCTGCAGCTGCTGCCACCGCAACTGCCACCGCCACAGCTACCGTAGCAGCCCTGCAGGAAACCCAGAACAAGGACATGAACCAATATGGACCGGTAGGCCTGGTTCCCCTCACACTAATTATTATTGTCCTTGATACTTTGCTGTTAGATAGAATCGTCTAAGTACTAGCTATAATACTGCAAAGAGAGTTGAGAAAGGTGGACTTAGGCTTATTATTGAACAATCATTGTAACGGATGAAAAATTAGACAAAACATTAGGGATGCTCCAATCACATGATTTTTAAACTAGAATCAGGCTACAACAAGCATGACCTGTTAAATTTATCCTGAGACAGAGAATTTTAAATGTAATGGCAATGGCTTAGATTTCATTTTAACAAGTTTCGCTATGTAAATATTCACTGTTGCATGGACAACAACACCGTAATGTCACTAAATTTACGGCAGGCGGAGAATTCACAAAACATAGGCTGTTAGCTAGCAGGCTAATGCAGAGCTAACGTGTCGCCTCAGGAGAGCAAAAATGGCATTGTTGGAGTATCAGATCGGGACTCGCTATTGGCAGATACTCAACATCAAATAACTTGGATCGGGGGCAATCGGGGGGCAATAAAGTGTGATCGGAATACCCAGCTGTAAAAGGCTATAGCAAAATTTGTTTTCTTTTTATAGTCTTGTTCTAGCCATTTATATTTGTCTATTTTTAACTATATTTGCATTTTTCAAAATGACCACATTGATGGTCAGGTATGAGTGGGCTGACTGAACCTGTTTTGTTTTTTCCAGATGAGTTCTTCTTTCCAGATGGGACCAAACCAGGCATACAACAGCCAGTTTATGAATCAGCCTGGACCCCGCGGCCCTCCATCTCTCCCTGGAAACATGGGTGCAGGGATGACTGCATCCAACATGAGCGGCCCCCCGATGGGTATGAACCAACCCAGGGGCCAAAGCATGGGGCCTTTTGGAGCTCATGGCCAAAGGATGCCGCAGCAGGGCTACACGGGGCCCCGGCCTCAGGGGATGGGTATGCAAGGCATGAAAAGACCATACCCAGGAGAGGTGAGCGGGCTATTTATTACGAATCACAAAGGTTTACTCGTTTTCTTTTGTGGATGTTGAATAAGTGTTTCCTCCACAGCCAAACTATGGTGGACAGCAGTATGGACCAAACACCCAATTCCCCAACCAGCAGGGGCAGTACCCCACAACCAACACCTCTAGGCCGCTGCCTTCTCCCAACTACCCAGGTCAGAGGATGCCAGGACAGCAGCTCCAAGGGCAGTACCCAGCACATGGGGGTCCCATGGGCCAATACTATAAGGTGCAGTCAGAAGGCTCATGTCTGAACATTGCTGTTGTTGTTTTTTTTCCAAATAATAAACTAGGTCTTGATTAATTACAGCAAGAGCCACCTTTCAATGGTCAAACTAATAATTTTCCTGGGAGCGGCTATCAGTACAACCAGGCTAACATGAACGGGGTGAGCCAAGTTATTCTTCAGAATTGTTTCACTTTTTTATCCCACTCTTGGATAGATATGATCTTTATATCCTCAAAGACGTCTGGTTAAATATTCAGATATCTTCTTTGCAGCCTCCAAGACCAGTGGGTAACTACCCCCACTCCCCAGTGCCAGGTAATCCCACCCCTCCGATGACACCAGGGAGTAACATCCCTCCATACTTGTCACCGAACCAGGATGTGAAGCCGCCCTTCCCTCCAGACATCAAACCAAATATCACAGTTCTCCCTCCCCCTCCAGGTCAGTTACTGGAATAATCTGATGGGGGAAAAAATCACTTTGAATCTTTTAAAATTTCTAATGATCTATATGGACCTTTTTCTTTGAATGTAGCCAACCACAACGAGGAGCTGCGCCTAACGTTCCCAGTGCGGGATGGGGTTGTCTTAGAGCCCTTCAGACTAGAACACAACCTGGCTGTCAGCAACCATGTCTTCCACTTACGGCCCTCTGTGCACCAAACGCTAATGTGGAGGTAAGATATCCCTGAATCAGCACGTACTACTTTGTGATTTACCTTGAGCTGACAGCTCTGCTTTAGAAATAGATGGAGATCATGTTCTTCCTAAATCTAGCGACATTCCATTGTTTCTTTTATACATGTAAGATTTATTTGAGAAACTTTCTTTCAGAAACTTGAACCTCTTTAAAAAGCTAGCATTTGATGGATTTCTCTGCACAGATCGGACCTTGAGCTGCAGTTTAAGTGCTACCACCACGAAGACCGTCAGATGAACACCAACTGGCCAGCATCGGTCCAAGTCAGCGTCAATGCCACACCTCTAACAATCGAGCGTGGTGACAACAAGACATCACACAAACCTCTGCACTTGAAGCATGTGTGCCAACCAGGAAGGAACACTATCCAGATCACGGTCACTGCCTGCTGCTGTGTGAGTAAACGACTCTCTTGAAGGAATATAGGAGTTTAAGGCACAAAATACGGTTTCCAGACAAATAAAACTTGTTTCCTCCCACAGTCACACTTGTTTGTGCTGCAGCTAGTACACAGGCCATCGGTCCGCTCTGTCCTGCAGGGTCTTTTGAAGAAGAGGTTACTTCCTGCAGAGCACTGCATAACCAAAGGTATTCACTCAATCACTTACTGCACCTTAAAGTCTTTTCAGACGTTTTGTTTCACGGGCTGCTTCTTTTCTTCTGCCTTAAAGTCAAGAGGAACTTCAGCAGTGTGGCAGCATCAACAGGAAACTCCGCGCTTAATGGGGAGGACGGTGTGGAGCAGACGGCCATCAAGGTCTCCCTCAAATGTCCAATCACTTTCAGACGAATACAACTTCCAGCGAGAGGCCATGACTGCAAACATGTTCAGGTTTTTAATCATCACATCAGCATAAAGAGAAATTTAAGAGACAACTGACCAACTAGTGTAACTTATAATTATTTTTAATGCAGTGTTTTGATTTGGAATCATATTTACAACTGAACTGTGAGCGGGGAACATGGCGGTGTCCAGTGTGCAAGTAAGTTTTGACTTTTTAATGCACCGAGCTGCGCTTATTGTCATGATTGTCTCTATTTTCAGATATGAAATCTTTAAATTTATCATATCTCTTTTTAGTAAAACTGCATTGTTAGAAGGACTCGAGGTGGACCAGTACATGTGGGGAATTCTGAATGCCATTCAAAAGTACATACACTCATACAAATCTGATATTCAAATATATTTTCCTCCTTATCCTTGTACCTTGACTGTTTTATTTGGACTGTTTTCCACCAGTTCTGAGTTTGAAGAGGTCACGATTGACCCTACATGTAGTTGGCGGCCGGTGGCGATCAAATCAGACATCCACATCAAGGAGGATCCGGATGGGCCAATCTCTAAGAGGTTTAAGACAATGAGTCCCAGTCAGATGATCATGCCCAATGTGATGGATATGATCGCTCAGCTTGGACCCGGACCATCGCCGTACCCATCGCTTCCCTCGGGGCAAGGAGGCAACAACAGCGAATACGGAATGCAAGGTAGTATTTCGGTATTTCAGTTCTGTTACACAAAGTTAATCGACTACAAAAGTATAAACATGTATTTATAGTTTTTCTTTTGTGTGCAGGCAACAGTTATCCAGGACACGGGAACTTTGACTTCCCCCACAGCACCCCAGGTGGTACATCCATGAATGACTTCATGCACGGTCCCCAACTGTCTCACCCACCAGATATGCCCAACAGCCTGATGACGCAAGACAAACCCCTATCCCACAGCATGCCTGACTCGGTGAGTCCTTCCAGCTTTTGTAGTCTTAAAATCACATGATACAGTAAAATAGTCATCTTGCTTCACATTTTTAAATAACTAAATTTGTCATCACATTCTTTCTTGCTACTTTAGGAAAAGTTCTGGAATTTTTTTAATCTTGTCTCTTTTATTACCCGCTTCACTAAAACTAGAAGATATGTGATAAAGATTTTACTGGACCTTTAAGAAAGCAACCCCTGTAAGCTTGGGCGATTAGGACAAATTTGTTGACTATCAGCGATAGGCCCCTCATAGATTGTTTTTAAGAGCAATATTTATTCTTGACAATTATATACATTTTATTTCATCATAAGTTAGTAGAAAGATGGCTAAAAAAATCATCAGCTGCAATCCATTTAATAAAAAGGAATTTTTATTACTCCTGATTTTAGACTAATTTTATGGCAAATAACTACTAATCTAATCTTAAAAACACAAATTACAGATCAGACATTTTCTCTGAAAATTATTTTTGCTCGCTTTACAGATACCTCATTCTGCCGGCCCAGACCAGACGCACGGCCTATTACAGCAAACCTTACATGCCTCTCCGCACCCCGGGAGCCAATCGGGGCCTCAGTTACACCACAGTGGGCCTCCTCAGCCCTCACGACAAGCTCCACCCCCTCAGCAGCAACCGCAGCCGCAACCACAGCAGCAACCACAGCAGCCTGGTCCCAACACCCACCCCCACAGCGACCTGACCTTCAACCCCTCCAGTAGTTTGGACAGTCAAGCAGGGTCAGACATGCCTGAGCCATCGTTAGACGTGAGTCCTGGAAAATTTGTCAAGACTGTATACTTTTTTAAAAGAAATTCTTAAGCTAATTCTTGGACTCATTTTTTCTGTCTTCCAGCTTCTTCCTGAACTCGCCAACCCAGATGAACTGTTGTCTTACCTTGACCCCCCAGACCTCCCCAGCAATAGCAACGATGACCTCCTGTCACTCTTCGAAAGCAACTGAGGCATTTTCAGACACAAACTTTTCTGATTGCCCTGAAGCTTCCCCGAGAAACTATGGCAGTTACTCAGTACTTGATAAACACAAAGATGCACTCCCTTTCTCTTCTTCCTCTTGTACAATTTTTCCTTCGCCAGCGCAGATTGACTAAAACATTTTTCAAACTCAAGAGACACGGCAGGATATGGCGGAGTTACCACGCCCTCCCACCCTGTGGTGATACCTTTGACTGTGCAGCTATAGTTCATTTCTTTTTTTTTTTTACACCATGCATATTTGTATGCTCATTAGGAATGTGTTGTAGCATTTTATAAATACGTTTGGTTTCCTTTTGAAGAAGAAACAAACAAAAAAATGTTGTTTAAAGCAGAACAGAAAAAACACCAATATCTGGCCAGTGTGTGTTCTGTTTTGTAGTGTCATCGCTCCATTCCCTGACTGGTCTGGTTAGTCGCACTGTTTTCTCCACCACGCATCATATATAAAGCACAAGAAATTCTGGCAATGCAAAAAAAAAACACACACACACACACACAAAACAAAACAGTCTTCACAAAAAGCAAAAGATCACATTATGTCTAAATATTTTCTAGAGATGTGTCGCAAACCTTTTAGAATGGTATTTGGAACCGATCGGCTTTAAATTTATCAACGGTTGTGCTGGATTTTAATCTTTTTTGTGAGAGCATTTTTCCCAGAAAACATTTATATTGCAAGAATTACATATCTGGTCTTCTACACGTTGCATAGTTAATGTCCTCCTTTAAAGAGAAGTGTTATCCTCTCATTTTTTTAAATGAAAGGTGCATCATGAGAGATTGGGGTTCCTGTGATGTTCTTGCTGAGTTTATTGCTTCCATCAATGACTCCTTCCACCTCACCTGCTCTGCATGAGCCTTGTCGTCAGCACTTTTGCAAAGCTGCATCTTTCTCTCCTTGTTGAACGATGTGCTGTTTAAGTAGTGTACAAAGTGCATGTGTGCCAAGCCCTCGTCTAGTGCGTTTTCAAGTGGTAAGAAATGGTTGTATTTTATTTTTTGTCAGATTTAGTAGGATTTTTTGTTTTTGTTTTTATTTAACACTAACGTTGAAGGGATACTGCTGGTTTTTGACATGTAAATCTGCTGGTTATTCTGTCTTTATCTTGTTTTCATTTTGCTGCATAATTAAACAGTCCTAGAATACTTTTGGTGGAAACTGCTTACCAAAGCTTGAGGATGAGAATGAAGATGTGTGTGTTTGCTTTTTTGATTGTGTGCATGCGTGCGTGTGTGTGTGTGTGTGTGTGTGTGTGTGTGTGTGTGTGTGTGTGTGTGTGTGTGTGTGTGTGTGTGTGTGTGTGTGTGTGTGTGTGTGTGTGTGTGTGTGTGTGTGTGTGTGTGTGAGGAAACTGTTTATCCATCAATGCTGTGTAAGAAGTGTTTTTCAAGCAGTATTGGTGCAAGCTTTTTTTCTATTTGCCACATTTGTTTTTGTTTTCACCTTTTGAGAAGAGTGCTGTTCCATATGCAAATGTATTATTTTTTAAGAAATGCTATTGTACTGTACATAATATCATTGTGAATATTTTTGTATCATCTCAATAATGTTTGTCCTTCTATCACTAGTCGTCCAATCGAAACACTCCCAAACCTGACCTCTGACTTTCTAACCAGCTGCCTCACCTCTCCATCCAGAGGAAACCAGTTTGAACATCTCATAAGCTATTCTCTACACTTCCTCCTGTTTGTCACTGTGCAGACATTACTATCTGTTTTGTCCTTGTGTGTTTTTGTTTTGTTATCACCTTCTTTTGCTTCAGCTTTTTTCTCAGATAGCTCACTCGGTTTGATGCAATCCTGTCTTTCAGGCAAGATGCATGCATCAAAACTCTTAAATTTATGTCAACATTTTTCTAAAAAGAGGTGACATCAGCTGACTTTCAGTGTAATTAACCATCTTTGTGAATATCATAATTGTTGCTAAATGTCAATACACAGTGGTATTTAAAAATGTATTGCAACCATATTTTAATTAAATCCATGATATTGTTTATATTTTTGTTATGAGAAAAATGTGGCTTTTTTAAAAGCATGAGACCATAAACCTTTTTAGCCCCCTTTTTTCTTTTTGGTAAATTATTTTGTACCATTTTTATCGTATTAATCTGTAAGGCTAGAAATCCAATTTTTTTCCACTTTAGCATCATGCTTGATTAACCAGTCATTTTAAATAAGCATTCTTTTTTATGTAATTTAAAAACTATTATTCACCCCAGCTCAGAGTGCTGAGACAAGGAGATGTTGCATCATTCAACATTACACTGCCACATTTTTTTTAACCCCCAAATAATCCCACAGAAGTCATCCTCACTTCATAGTTCTTACTTTAAAGTGAACCAGTCTGGTGTTTATTGCAGCACCAGAGTGTGTAGTTGCACAATCACAATAAAGGGCCATTTCTCTGGGGGATGTTTAGAAAAAAATTTGGGAGGGTATGTTCACAAGTCTGGCCTAAAACAGAGGCAGAGGGCAAGACTTGTTAAACGTCCCAAGGATGCTTGTATATATGTATATTACTATAGAGACACATGAACATAAATTAATTCATTTTCTTCGGGAATGTGCATTGTTTCTACTCGATAATAAAAAATTAAAAAAAAAAAGCTTGCAACCCCCTCTACTGGAAGTGGCTGAATGTGGAAAATGCAACATGTTCGTGTCTGTTGGTATTTCAGCATTTTGTTACCCTTCCCCCTCTGTAATATACTTTCACCTCTTTTGTTAGGCGAACTGGGACAGCTGTGTTTTACACGTACTATTTAGCCTAAGTGTTCTAGTCTCACCGGCATACTCTGAGGTGCTGAAGCTAAAAGAGAAAACAAGTAAATATAAATAAGAAAAATAAGGTTACAAAGAAAACCACTTAGAGTGAGGAAGAATTATAGCGGAAGCGGATGAGTCCAGAAGATTGTAACCAGATCCATAGTTTGTACAATTTTTGATATCATGAACAGTTGGGAAAATAAGAACAATCTACAGTGATTCAATGTGGCCATTGTCTCCATGTTTGTACATTGTATGTACAATCATTTCATACTTTAAACTGGTCAGAAAACAAAGGAACTAATTGTGATTTTTAGTCTTGCAGAACTGTATGTAGTTAGATGATGTGACAACCTAATATTTATCTAATAAATATGTATACAGATGATTTGTGCTTGTTTGTGCTTTGTCATGTGTTTTCTGTCCACTTTAGACAAAGTTACTTGTCTCACTAGCAGCTTGTTCTTGCACAATATTTTCACTCCAGTTTAGGGTCAAGCAGCGTCTTCTTCCCAGGAAAAAAAAAGTATTATGCATCAGCACCTACAGTGCTCAGCATAAATTTGTACACCTCCTTTAAAAAGTACAAATTTAAACAGTAGCTCAATTAACAAAATAACAATCTCCAGAATTTTCACAAGGCTGGTTTTAATGAACCCTTGTTTAACTCCATAACATGAAATTAAGGTTAATAATATAAATGGTAAATGGCCTGTATTGATATAGCGCCTTCTAGAGTCCTGGAACCCCCCAAGGTGCTTTACAACACAATCAGTCATTCACCCATTCACACACACATTCACACACTGGTGGTGATGAGCTACAATGTAGCCACAGCTGCCCTGGGGCGCACTGACAGAGGCGAGGCTGCCGAGTACTGGCGCCACCAGTCCCTCTGACCACCACCAGCAGGCAATGTGGGTTAAGTGTCTTGCCCAAGGACACAACGACAGCGACAGACTGAGCGGGGCTCGAACCTGCAACCTTCTGCTTACGGGGCGAGCACTTAACTCCTGTGCCACCGTCGCCCCACAACAAAAAACTACTACATCTAGTATTTTGTATGGCCACTATGATTTTCAAGGACAGCACCAAGTATTCTAGGCATGGAATGAACAAGTTGGCGACATATTGCAACATCTAGCTTTTTCAGTTCTTCAGGAATTTTAGAGTCTGGATAGTGGATGGAGAGTGATGCTCAACTTGCTGCTTCAGAATTCCCCACAGGTGTTCGATTGGGTTCAGATCAGGAGACATACTTGGCCATTCAGTCACCTTCACCCTGTTCTTCATAAATGCAACAGTAGCTTTAGATGTGTGTTTTGGATCATTGTCGTGTTGGAAAAGTGCACGACGGCCAAGTGCACGGAGTAATGGCAGCATCTGCTCCTTCAGTATAGAGCAGTACATTGTTAAGTTCATGATACCTTCAATGAAATGCAGCTCCCCAACACCAGCAGCACTCATGCAGTCCCACATCAGGACACCGCCACCACCATGCTTCACTGTAGGCACCAAGCATTTCTCTTTAAAATCCTCACCTTTACAATGCCACGCAGTTTTGAAACGATTAGGTCCAAAAACAGTTATCTTTGTCTCATCACTCCAGAGTCTAGAGTCCCAATAGTCTTCATCTCTTTCAGCATGGGCCCAGCAAATCTTTGATGTGCTTTTTTGTGCATGGGCTTTAGGAGAGGCTTCCTTCATGGATGACACCCATGCATGCCATTCCTATGCAGACAGTGTGCACCGTATGGTGTCACAGGAAACAGTCACTCCAGTTTGGCTTTCTACTGCTTTAGCTAACTGCAGTGTACTAGCAAGGTGATCTTCTTCTACCCTTCTCATCAGAAGATGCTCTTGTCGAGATGTTAACTTCCGTGGATGGCCTGGACGTCTCTATAAGATGATTGCACTTCCATCTTTCTTAAATTTTTGGATCACTTTTGCTACAGTAGTTTGATATGTAAGATGTTGCTGATCTTCTTGTAGCCCTCACGTTTTTTGTGTACAGAAATGATTTCTCTTCCATATGGAGCCATTGCTGATGGCATGAAATGAGAAGGGCTTTTCTTTGTTAAGTAATGCCCTTTTATAGTCACCTGTCTGCTGGACACCTCTTAAATGAACCACACTCACCTGTGGTCGAATGCCTGTAAATTTGAATTCTGTAGTCTTAATTGTGGCTTTTTTCCTAAAAATATTGGGATGTAGTAATTTTTGCAACATGGGCATGAACAGATTTGTTAGGAAAATCACTTTTTTGCACGCAAATTAAAAATTGTGACGGGTGAGTGTCCTGTCACTGTATCCCGACTGATCATGCCCCTGGCTATTTGGCAACAGGGATGTATCTTTGGCTGACTGGTTACCGCGCGTGACTCACCCGGGAGCCTGGAGATTGAATCCCACCCGGGCCCTTATTTCTCCACCTAGCCACATTTGGCATTGTTGGCATGATCTATGTAGTACTGTGAAGTACTGTGAATGTAGTGGGGTGTACTCATTTATGCTGAGCATTGTAGATTGGTTGGGTGAACTCCCACGCACCCTCCAGGACCCCCCTAAGGGTATAGAATTAGTCCAGTGTTCCACGGCCAGGATGAAAACCACATTATTCCTCCTGAATCAGAGGTTTGACAATCCGCCGGACCCTCCTCTCCAGAACCCCTGAATAGAACTTACCAAGGAGGCTCAGGAGTGTGATCCCTCTGTAGTTGGAACACACTCTGTGATACCCCTTTTTGAATAGGGAGATCACCACCCCAGTCTGCCAAGTCAGTGGAACTGTCTCCGATGTCCACGCAATACTGCAGAGCTGTGTCAACCAGCAGAGCCCCACAACATCCAGAGCTTTAAGGAACTCTGGGCGGATCTGTTCCACCTCCGGGCCCTTGCCACTGAATAGCTTTTTGACCACCTCAATGAACTCAGTCCCAGAGATTTAGAGATCCCAACCCCAGGCCTCAGACTCTGCTTCTTCACTGGAAGACGTGCCAGTGAGATTGAGGAGGTCTTTGAAGCATTAATAATAATAATAATACATTTTATTTCAACAGCGCCTTTCTGAACACTCAAGGACACTTTACAGAGATAAAATACACAACAATAAAAGATAAAACAGCATAAAACAAACAGACAGATTGGAGCAACGAGAGTAATTATTTGAATGCTAGACGGAACAGGTGAGTTTTGAGTCTGGTTTTAAAGAGAGTGAGGGAATCAATGTTACGGAGGTCAGGAGGAAGTGAGTTCCAGAGCTGGGGAGCAGAGCGGCTGAAGGCCCTGCTCCCCATAGTGACCAGACGGAAAGGTGGGACTGAGAGGTGGATGGAGGAGGAGGACCTGAGGGAACGGGTGGAGGTTGAAGGATGAAGGAGGTCTGAGAGGTACGGTGGAGCTAGGTTATGGATGGCTTTGAATGTATATAGCAGAATTTTGAATTGGATTCTGGAAGAGACTGGGAGCCAGTGGAGCTGCTGAAGAACAGGGGTGATGTGGTGGAAGGAGGGAGTTCTGGAAATTATGTGGGCTGCCGAGTTCTGGAGAAGTTGGAGTTTATGGAGGGATTTGTGAGGAAGACCGAAGAGAAGAGCGTTGCAGTAGTCAATACGGGAAGTGATGAGGCTGTGGACAAGAATGGCGACCGAGTGAGTAGTGAGGGAGGGGCGTAGGCGGTTAATGTTATGTAGATGGAAGTAGGCAGACCGGGTAATATTGTTTATGTGGGACTGGAAGGATAGTGAGGAGTCGAGGATGACACCCAGACTCTTGACCTGAGGGGAGGGGGAAACTAAGGAGTTGGCGCCCACCGATCCACAAAGTCCTGAGTAGAGGTCAGCAGCACACTGTCACCACTGTAAACAGTGTTGTTCACACACTGCTTTCCCTTCCTGAGATGCCAGATGGTGGACCAGAATCTCCTCTAAGCCATAAGTCAGTCTTGGTCGAAGGTCTCAACTCCTCCCATGTCCGAGTTTTTGCCTCTGTGACCACCTGAACTGCATTCAGCTTGGGCTGCCAGTACCCATCAACTGCCTCTGGAGTCCCATAGGCCAAACATTCCTGATAGGACTCTTTCTTCAGCTTGACAGCATCCCTAACCAACAGTGTCCACCAGCAAGTTTGGGAGTTGCCACCAGGACAGGCACAGACAACCCTGCTCTGGTCAGCTGCATCAGCAACACAAGCACAGCGCATGGCCCACTCGGACTCGGTGTCCCCCGCTTCCCTCGGAATGTGATCAAAAATCTGTCGGAGGTGGGAATTGTAGCTCCTTCTGACAGAAGAATTCACCAGACATTCCCAGCAGACCCTCACTATTCGTTTGGGCCTGCCAGGTCTGACCGGACTTCCTCCCCCACCATCAAAGCAAACTTATCACCAGGTAGTGGTCAGTTGACAGCTCTGCCCCTCTCTTCAACTGAGTGTATAAGACATGAAGCCGCAGATCAGATGAAAAGACTACAAAGTCAATCATTGAACTGCGGCCTAAGATATCCTGGTGCCAAGCACATATAGGTGCTGGCCAGTAAATTAGAATATCATCAAAAGGTTGAAAATATTTCAGTAATTCCATTCAAAACGTGAAACTTGTACATTATATTCATGCAATGCACACAGACCAATGTATTTCCAATGTTCATTACATTTAAATTTGATATTCATAAGTGACAACTAATGAAAACTCCAAATTTGGTATCTCAAAAAATTAGAATATTCTGAAAAGGCTGAATATAGAAGACACCTGCTGCCACTCTAATCAGCTGATTTACTCAAAACACCTGCAAAGGCCTTTAAAAGGTCCCTCAGTCTTGTTTTGAAGGCACCACAATCATGGGGAAGACTTCTGACTTAACAGCTGTCCAAAAGACAATCATTGACACCTTGCACAAGGAGGGCAAGACACAAAAGGTGATTGCTAAAGAAGCTGGCTGTTCGCAGAGCTCTGTGTCCAAGCACATTAACAGACAGGCGAAGGGACGGAAAAAATGTGGTAGAAAAAAGTGTACAAGCTCTAGGGATAACCGCACCCTGCAGAGAATTGTGACGACAAACCCATTCAAAAATGTGGGGGAGATCCACAAAGAGTGGACTGCAGCTGGAGTCAGCGCTTCAAGAACCACCACGAGGAGACTCATGAAAGACATGGGATTCAGGTGTCGCATTCCGTGTGTCAAGCCACTCTTGAACAAGAAACAGCGCAAGAAGCGTCTCGCCTGGGCCAAGGACAAAAAGGACTGGACTGATGCTGAGTGGTCCAAAGTTATGTTTTCTGATGAAAGCAAGTTCTGCATTTCCTTTGGAAATCAAGGACCCAGAGTCTGGAGGAAGAGCGGAGAAGCACAGAATCCACGTTGCATGAGGTCCAGTGTAAAGTTTCCACCG